AGTTATAGGTACTTGTGTTGCCTCAAATTTCTCTCCTTTCATTATGTTTTTATTCCAATATTTTATTCCTACTAGTCATTTTTCCTAACAATCCATGACATATTGATAAATCTGACAGTCAATTCTCAGTTCTCATCGAATCTGACCTATTTACAGTATTTAACACTATAGTTGTTTAGAGGTTGATCATGCTCTGCTTCCTAAAACACCTTCTCTAATTGGACTTCTATGTTCCACCCTTTCCTGGTTATTCTCCTGCCTTGCTAGGGCTCCCCTCAATTTCTCTTCATCTCCCAGACCTCTAAACATCAACATGTCCCAAAGCTTGATCCTGTGACTTCTTCTCTGCCTATATTGACTTCCTTGTTAACTTCATTCAGTGTTTAATTTTAAAGCTCCAGACTCATATGTTCATATGCTCAATTTTTATATGATATTTTCACTTGAATTTCTAATAGACATCTCACATGCAATATATCCAACACCAAATTCTTTGGCTTTCTATAGAAACCTCCTCCTCAGTCTTCCTCATCTCTATAAAGGACAAATCCATTCTTCTAGTTTCTCAGACCAAAACCTGGACATTATCCTTGACTCTTTGACTCACATCCTGATCTAATTTACTTAAAAATTCTTTAAAACATATCCAGAATCCAATTATCTCTCACAACTACCACTGATAGCATCATCAGCTTTTACCTGGATTATTGGAACAGTCTCCTAACTGCATTATGCATTATTGTGAATGCTGCTGGTTGTCCACCACAGTTCATTATGCATGTAGATCAATATGGGTTGACCGATTCTACTTGGAGTTTGCTGTGGACATGTGACTAAGTTCTGAACAAAGGAATGTGAGCAGAAGGAATGTGTGCCAGTTAGGTCCAAGGTAGACCATGGACCTAAAAACCATGGACACACCTCCTGCACTCTCTCCACTTCTTATGAACCAGAACCTGGAGGAAACTGTGGTTCATGTAGATAAAGGCAATGGCCTAAGGGATAGAGAATCCTAGATGCCTGGAAAACTACATAAAGCAGAGCTACTTGCTATCCTGAAACACACACCTCAGGCTGTTAGATGAAAGAAGAAGAAACTCTTATCCTCTTTAATCCACTGAATTGTTTCAGTGGGGCTATTTGTTACAGAAATTTGGCCTTACCCTAATTAAAACAAGCTCCTCAAGTACAGGACCTAAAACCTATAAGCTCGGCCGGGCGCGGTGGCTCAAGCCTGTAATCCCAGCACTTTGGGAGGCCGAGGCGGGTGGATCACGAGGTTGAGAGATCGAGACCAACCTGGTCAACATGGTGAAACCCCGTCTCTACTAAAAATACAAAAAATTAGCTGGGCATGGTGGTGTGTGCCTATAATCCCAGCTACTCAGGAGGCTGAGGCAGGAGAATTGCCTGAACCCAGGAGGCAGAGGTTGCGGTGAGCCGAGATCGCGCCATTGCACTCCAGCCTGGGTAACAAGAGCGAAACTCCGTCTCAAAAAAAAAAAAAAAAAAAAAAAAAAAAAAAAAAAAAAAAACCTATAAGCTCTTCGAAAGCTTGAAATGATGTTTGAATTTTTGCTCTCATCTCCAAATTAGAAGCTCCAAAATATAAAATAAAATAAAAAAATTAAAAAGGCAGCAACTGTAAAGTCAGCATTGGCCAGGTGCAGTGTTCACTCCTATAATCCTAGCACTTTGGGAGGCCACAGTGGGCAGCTCACTTGAGTCCAAAATTTCAAGATCAGCCTGGGCAATATGGCGAAACCTTATCTCTCCAAAAATATTTTAAAAATTAGTCAGGCATGGTGGTGTGCCTCTGTAGTCCCAGCTACTTAGGAGGCTGAAGTGGGAGGATTGCTTGAAGTGGAGGTTTCAGTGAACAAAGATCATAGCCACTGCACTACAGCCTGAGTGACAGAGCAAGAGCCTGTCATACACACACACACACACACACACACAGAGTAAGCATTGATAAACATTTACATGACTAAAAATGTTGACATCATGTCAATGCACCAGCTGCAACTCAACTTGTATGTCCTGTATAAATGTAATACAGTTAAATCATAAAAATGAAATGAATAATTTATTCCTAATGAAATTCAAATCTATCAAAATCATTTTATAACAGTTTTATAGCAAATAATTATGTTGAAGTATGAGTACATGTTATCATTTAACATGTTGTGGGGTAAGGCTCAAAATAAAAGCACTTAAGTCCTAGCATGGCCTTAAATTATGCTACCTGACCCTGCTATTTACTAGCTGAGTTACCTTGGGCAAGTTGCCCAAACTTCTGAGACTTTTTCAGAAGTTTCCATTTTCTGAAAGATTGGAAGGTGGCAGAAAATAATAATAAAATATTATTTTATAATAAAACAATAATATTTTACAGGGTTGTAAAAAGAATTAAAATACATACTAGTTTTGAAAATACTTTACACACATTATAGGAACATATGGGGTGAGTACTATTATATTTCATACTTCCATAAAACCTCAGTGTTTGAGAAAACTCTAGACATCACTTACGTGCCCAGCTCAACAAACTTATCTGGAAAGATTTTTTTAAACACAGATAGCAAAACCGCTGTCTCCAAAGAGGCTCATTAAGTAAGCCTTGGGATTCCCTTTTTTTTTTTTTTTTTTTTTTTTTTTTTTTGAGACGAAGTTTCGCTCTTGTTACCCAGGCTGGAGTGCAATGGCGCGATCTTGGCTCACCGCAACCTCCGCCTCCTGGGTTCAGGTTATTCTCCTGCCTCAGCCTCCCGAGTAGCTGGGACTACAGGCGTGCGCCACCGTGCTCGGCTAATTTTTTGTATGTTTAGTAGAGACGGGGTTTCACCATGTTGACCAGGATGGTCTCGATCTCTTGACCTCGTGATCCACTCGCCTGGGCCTCCCAAAGTGCTGGGATTTTAGGTGTGAGCCACCGCGCCCGGCCGGTATTCCATATTTTTAAAGCTCCCCTATATATAAGATACTGATAGTGTTTGTTGCTTTCAATAGGTAAGAAGAGGGTGGCTGGATGACTGAATAGGAAGAATTTTCACAAAATGTTTTCTAAACTTCAGAATTTTGAACCACATGAATGTATATCCATATTGAGAAGTAATCATATTTATACTATTTAATAAATTAACCAATAGACAAAATAAATGTTTCTGGAATGATTTTGTCCCCAATACAGTCGGGGAAGTAGGTTAATCTTTCTAACCACTCCTGCATGCAGGTTTAGTCTTCCCCATACCCTAGATTCTACATGGACATTCCCAATGTCTTCACTCCCCTTACCTTACAAAGCAGCCAAGGAAGTTGGACAGCTGTAATTGTTAGCATATTACTCTGTGTATGTCTGTGTCAAAGTGAGGGATGATGTAGACATCATCACATAGGTGGGGGACAAAGCATAATATCTGACCCACAGCATAACTGAATTCATCAATAACAGTGAGTAACTTGATAACAGGATTTACTGGATATGATTCTGGTGGGTCGCTGTCACCAAGACAGAAAACTGACATTGATTTTATCTTTAGATTTTTGCTTGACCTACCAGTGTGATTGTGGCTCTGATTATCAGGGAGCTCTCAAAGTGGGATACAGCCCTTGTTTAATCAGCATTGTGTCTGCCTTGTCCCTGATTCTTATTATCTAATGTAAATGGACTTTCTTATTACCTAACATAGTAGCTTCAAGTGGGAGAGCAAACTGAAGATACAAAATGCAAGCAGCTGAGCACTGTCTTGTCCTAGGGACAAAGTAAATAAATGCGTTAATTCCCCAACCCAAATGCACTACAATAACCAAAGAGAGAAGAAATCACTTCTAAAGGATTGAACGGAAAGTGTTTAATTTTGTACTTGGTTCCACGGTTTTGAAATAGAAACCAGTCCTTTCAACACAGAAGACTATACCAATTGCCCCTACTTTCCCCACCTCCACTTCCAAATTCCTGTTATTTGTTCTCATTTGAATGGTCTGAAACTGTCAAGTAACAGAAAGGTTGTTATCAATACTGCATCTGCCCCAGATGGATTAGAGGGAGAATGATGTTTGTGGCTTTCTGTAATCCCTCCATGGACTCCAAGATTTTGAGTTTCTCCAGGGAATGTGGTAAAACCACAGGAAATCTCCAAAAGCAAAATGTTGCAGTCTGCTCTCTGGTTGAGCCATCAAACACAGAAAAACTAAGGCAGGCAAGAAAATGAGAGGAAACTCTTCCCCTTCTACAAATCAGAGGCAGTTGAGAGCATGAGTTCTTTTATTCCTCCTGAGGTCCACAGTTGCCTGTCAATCTCTAGGGAACACATACCTTTATGCATGTCTTCTTTTTCCAGAATGAACCCCAAAGCCACCTGCTTCAAGTAACCTCATACGGAATCGGAGATGTGTACTGATGTTGCCTCCAGTCTCGTTCTCTTTCCAAGTCCAAAAATAGATTTGAAGGAGGCTTTGAACAACATCTTTACATTCTCTGTGCTTGAGTTCCTCTTAATTGAATGGCATTTGCCATTTACTTTCATCATGGAATTGAGGGGAAGCAGCTACAACGGGATTTGTAAAAAAGATTTTTGAGCAGATTGTAAGGCGAGAACAATGAGACATAAAGTAGCCATTCTTTACTCTTTTAAGCAGTAATTTATATTTATTGAAATTCATAGTGCACACATAAGCTATGGGAAGATAGCAAGGGAAGACAGAGTGTTCTAATGGAAACATTGAATAAGAGAACAGAATAACATTAGCTGAAAATTTCAAGCTCCTTACATCAAAAAATTTAGGATCATAAGCAACATTATAGGCAAGTCTAACAATATTTTCTTTTTTCTATGCTGTTGCATTTTTGTTGGCATTTGTTGTATGAAAACATCAGCATACGCTTTATTTATTAAAATGAATTTGGTATAAACAAAACAAAAATTTTCAGCCTATTTGTCACAATTTCAGAGTGTGTGATTTTAGAAAAGGAATATTAAGGATGCCCAAAACATTTTATTTAAAATGCTCCTTACACTATTTATGAATTGAACAGAGAAATAAACACATTATAGGTGGTCTTCCTAGAGCATCCAGGCCCTAAAATAACCTCAACTGACATTAACAAGGAGGGTGTTTTAAAATCAAGAATAATATACTGTCATTTTAACACCAACAAAGATAGAGTTGAAACTAATGTTTTTCTGCCATATTTGTGTCTAGAAATATTTTCAGACTATAAAATCATGGGTACATCAATATTTTGGGAATGTTTGTTTATTTTTTAATGCATATTCAGAGATGCATTGTGCCTCCTGGCAATTTTTGCTTATTTTTGTATGAAAAGACGCTATGCTATGTGTGCTAGAACATAAACTGAGGAAACCTTGACACTATTTGCCTCCTAATTTTAGTTTCTTTGAATAATGCATTCTGTTCCAACATATCAGCTTTGTATTAAACACCGAAACAGGAAAAGAAAGAAACACCCATATCAAATACACAGAAAAGATTTTTTTTAAGGTGTTAATTTTTTCAAATATTATTTCTAGAGTTTTGCATACTTCCTGCACACGCTCCCATAGCAGGGAGGGGTGTAAGAAGAGGTAAGCCTGGAGCACAGTGAAATGTGATCTTGCCACAAGCCCTTCAAAGGTCAGTTTGATTGATTTTTCTTCCCTGCAAAAGATCGGAAAGTAGCAGTGACAGAAAAAGTCCTTAAAACTCGACGCTAACTAGGGCATACTTCATTTGATCACACAAATAGAGAGTTGAGAAGTCGCCACTAGGTCTATGGATTTCCTCAGCAAGACAGACTCTTTAACACCCAAGTTTTGAAACTATGAACTACAGTATTCCACAGATGATTATGCCTGGTATTTAAAAGGCCCCTGCAGAGGTCTAGTCAAAATATTTACATTCCTCTCTGAAACTGTAATGCAAAGGAAAAGGAAAATATCGTGAGAGGACGAATCAAAAGAAAATCTTTCCTTCCTCAGCAGCAAGAAAAGGTGTCAGGCCGCTGGGTTTTCTGCAGACATCCTTGTTCTCTTCGTTTAGATCAGGCGCCCATCACACACCTTTCCAACGGACGTACTTCTATAGCAAGGTGCATTAGCTGCATTCTGTGTCAAAATTCGGGCTGTATCCATTTCTGAACACATGTGGTTAACAGAAAGCCTCATCATCCCGCCGTAAATGGGTGTGTTTAATTGTCCATGCGTGTTCCCCGAGGCGCTGCATGGGTGCTGTAAATAGATGGGTGAGTGATGGGCACGTATATTTTCTCCATAAAGTGCAGCCACTGGCTCAAAGTGAGTCAGACTTTGGCAAGGAAGAGTGTTCGAGGCTGGCTGGCGGCGAGGATGGGATAGGGGTGGGGAGGAGGAGCAGGAGGGGGCGATGATTAGAGAAGGAAATGACCCAACTCCCTCCCTTCTGTTTTCACAATCTGCGTCACGCTCCTTTACGCTCCCGGCCCGCTGCGGGCGAGCGGGCGGCCGCGCACGCTTCGTCAGGCCGGGCACCTGCCCGGCGGTAGCCTCCCCAGCTCCGGGGCCGCCAGCCGCTCTGCTGCCCGCTGTAGGCTCCCCAAAGAAGCGGAGGTGAGGACCCCGCCTGGTGCATAGGGGCCGAGCCCAGGACCACAGAACTTCTATCAACCCAGCGTCCCCCGACTTGGGACCTGCTGGGTTCACTGGGCGAGGGGCTGCGGTTGGCGAGGAGGCGTGGGGCGCAGGGAGTAGAAACATTTCGGTCTCTCGGGCTGTGGCGGTGCAACTCCTGCCTCCTGCGTTCTAGACAGAAAAGACCCTTCTTACCACGCATTAGTAGTAATACTCCATTATTCCTGTTAGAACAAGTTAAAAGTAAGGGTTGAGCCCTAAGGCCCCGGGAGGGGGGTCATGTGCGCCCCCGTCACTCTGGCTCCCCTCGCTTCCACGGTTCGAGTTATGCCATCAAGCTAATATATTGTGACTGCTCTTCTCTCCTGTGACAAAGGCTTGCAGCTGCCTCCAAATCAATAGATGTCAAAGAAATATGAAAACAATCATGACACAAAACTTAAATCCTGGCTGGAGCCTACATAATCAGAACTGTGCTTCTGTTCTTCAAGCCACCGATTAATTTATCCCAAACTTTAGTCAAATTTTTATTCCAGTACCTTTTTCCCAGCAGATCCTGCTACATCTGTCGGGTTTGTAATGTAATTTGTAATTACTGCCCTTCATGTGGTCCGGTGCCTTGAACCATCTTTAATTAAAAGCATAATTAAGGGAAGATCTAAAGAAAGACAATTACCAGATGGTCTTTTTTTTTTAGAGGCGGTAGTTGCGCAGAGAGGGGCTCGGGGTCTGTCCCCCGGACCCCGCGCCTTGGGAGGGGGCAGGGGCCCCGAACGGCGCCTGCGCACTGCAGAGGCCTTGGCCCGGCTCACACCCAGAGTTCCTGTCCCACCCCACCCAGCCACACCCCGCCACACCCCACCCTGGCCCTGAGGCTCCACCGAGGCCGCGCCCAGAGGTGATCGCCAGCGTCCCCGCCGTGCGAAGAGACTCTGGCTTTCTCTGCTTTTCCTCAGGTGGCGCGGGATGTGGGGCGTGAGTCCCCAGCAGGGAGGCTGGGACAAAATCAAGGCCGGGGCAACTTTCAAATCTGCGAAGAGGCCCCGGGAGCCGGGCCCATCCCGCCCTGCACGCGAGCCTGAGAGCTCTGAAGCAGAAAGAAGGAAGGGACACGAGGGCTGGAAGTGAGGGGGAAAATGAGGGAAGGGCGTTTGCCCCGCCAGATGACAGTCTTGCCAAGGGATCCTGGCCTGGGTCCTCCCTGACTGGACCTTACTAGGGTGGGAGCTGGGGGATCCGTGCCCTGCAGGTCTGGGAACCCAAGACAGCCGGGGAGCGTCGTCGCCCGCAGCCCCGTCGGGTAAAGTGGCCCCTTGACAGAGATTCTCTCGACTCTAGGCTCCTCTGGGTCCATTGGTCCCCGGGATTTTCAGAACAAGTTCGGGGAGAGAGGAACAACCCATTCTCCACTCCTATCCCATCCCCATTTCCCTGAAATGAATAATGCAGGCAGGAGCCAAGATTTCTGCATTAGCGCGGCGTTGCCCCGGCGGCTGGCGCTAGGATCCCGAAGTCGGATAATGGAAATTAAACTGTTGTTCTGAGGCTGGGATGTCATTATGTGACTGTTCATATTCAAAGTCAGGCAGCAATGAATTGTAATCATTTCAATTATCTTCAATACACTTTAGGACACAAGTTGTCAAAGATTAAAAAAAAAAAAAAAAAGAAAAAAAAAAGTACATTCTTGCGGCTCCGTGGGTCCATTTTCCAGACGGTTTGTTGCTCTTGCTGCCTGATTTGGTTTCGGCTTTTATTCCCCAGTCTCAGATTCTCTTACAGAGACTCTGTCGGAGTGAGCTAGCCCCGGCGGCCCTTGACGCTTCCCTGGCGCTGTGGGCCGGCTGCACGGGTCGGGAATCGGCCTCCGTGAGCCTGGCGCGCGCATTTTGGTTGCTTTCAGGTTTAATTAACTTTGAACAACAAATATGCCTGAAGCTCTGGATCTGATGACGCCTTGGGAAGGGGCCGTAGTATTGTATTCTGCGTCCTTCCCAGCCTGGGGCAGGGTGGGGGCTGGCGGCAGCAGCCTGCACTCCCCTCCCCAGACCAGCGCCGCGCGTCAGAAAGGCACGTGCTGGACTGTGCCCGCGCCTCCGACAGAACCCGGACCATCTCCTTCCAACCCCTAGAAGGCAAGGAAAAGCCGGGATCTCCCTAGCCTGCTCTCCTTTGTTGAAATTACCCTCTGCCCAGTGATCGCTCCCTCCTGTCCCTGAACATGGGACTGCGAAGAGTTGGATGTGGTATCCTTGAAGTATCCCTTCAAGTACCCTCAGTCCCCAGACTGGGCAAAGGGAGTAGGGGTCGCCTTTTAAGCCCAAGTCCACGGCTCCTATTTGGACTAATCCCGATCTTTACAATAATATCGCCTCTCGGGTTTTCATTATACTCATTTGGGAGGAAATGAGCTCTTGCCGGGCAAATAGCAGCCTGCACCCCACTTCTCATAGCTGTGCAGGGCCGGGGCCTGAACAACCCCGCAGGCAATCCCGGAGCTGCCGATATTATATTTGTGAAATGTCCTTTTGTTGAGGCTTTTAACACCTTCTTATAACGAATCATTTGTTCTTTTCTCTTTAATTTTGATAGACAATTAGCCATCAGAGATACACCAGTTGACTGTAACCGAGCATTAAACTCGCCTTTATGTAACGCTAATTTAGCATAGCTGCTTTGTTTAACTTTGCTATATAAGAACCAGGTTTTGTAGGAAAAAAAATAGGTGTAATTTTATGTGGGGCTTCGTTTCTTTTGGCCCTGTACGCAGCAAGCCCTCTCCTCTTTGTGAAGCTTCTGCTGGGGTCTGACGCCATTTCCCGTGCCTAGCACCTGCAGGCTGGGGGGAGAGAGGGAATTAGCATTGATATAGATTTAGTTGAAATGTAATCTCTTAAATCTGTCCAAGATTCGGGGAGATAATTACACTTTCACTGAATTGCCAGGGGTCAGCGTCTCTGAGGACCTGAGGAGTTGATTTACTAACAATAGTGTTACATAAAAAATGGCGTTTGAGATTATAATGTTAATGGCTGCGGTCGCTGGGGAATGAGTCCGCTTCCAACTAATTCCATGTAACTTGTTTTTTGCCTCCCTTTTCCTCCCTCCCTTTCTTCCAGGCTCCATCTTTGCAGGGATTCAAAGCCTTCGCGATGTTTAATTTGGTGGCAGGCTCCAGTAGACTATAAGACCAGAAGCTCTGGAGCTTGGGGTTGATGCTCTTGTTCTGCGAGTGTTTGTGGTGACAGGTTGGGGCCTCGACAGCAAGGCTGGCCTCTATCCCAGGAGGACTAGGGTGCGGCCTCCGAGCACCACGTAGCCAGGCTAGGGAGCGGAGAGACGGCTGCACCCGGAAGAAGGGCGCAGCCCTCCCTGGCAGCAGGAGACTGGACCTGCCCAGTCGGCAGCGGCCTCGTGCCTTAGGCCTCGCCCGCAGGTTGCCCCGCCTGCCTGGAACGGGCCTTCTCGGCTTTCCGCAGCCTCAAGCTTCCCGGCCCGCAAAGACCAGGCCCTATTTTACCACCTACTCACCCTCCTAGGCCATACTTCTTACCCAGCAACCTCAGAGCGAGGGATGCTCGCTTCCCGCCCAAACTTTCCTTTCCAGCTGGACTTTGGCTGGATGCCGAAACCTGAGTTCAGAGAGGCCCCGCAAGTCCAAATTCTACTTTGGGGTTGGGGTTAGCCAGCCTGCTTTGAGGTGAGGACGGTTGCAGAGTTTACAGTCCCTCCACACTCTTCAAACGTCACCCACGGCAGTCTCCAGCCACAGCCACGACAACCTAGACTCCTCCAGAAATCTCATGGCCTCCCCTAACTTGTAGCCCCGAAGAGTGAATAGCGCTTCACTCCTCTGAATGAATGGGTGAATGGCCTCAGGTTACCAGGGACCCATTGGCAAACTCGTTCCCACCCATGGGTCAAGGAAGAGGTCTGGGAACTGTACGAGTCAAAGTCTGAAATGGATGGAAAAGCAGCCCCTCCTAGGAAGGTCAAAGGGCCACTTCTGTGGCCTCCAGGACAGCGCTGGGCCGGTGAGTCAGAGAAGGAGTTGAGAGCCCAGGAGCAGCCTCAGGCCTCACCAGGTTTTAGTGGCCTAGGCCTGCCCACAGGTCCAGGAGCTCTGAGGGCAACACTTTCGAGCTTGAAAGGGGTTGCCTCTGCCCTCTATCTCTTACTCCTTACACAGGACTCCAGGAGATGGAGAAAGCAGTACTTGCCCTGCCAGACCCAGGCACAGGCCTTGCCCAGGCTCTCCCTCCATCTGGGAGCTTTGCTTCTGTGAAGAAAGGGTGCTGAACCTGTGAACTGCAGGTCCTAGCAAAAGAAGCAGCTGCCACTCTGGCTAGCACACTCTCACCCACTTTAGGCAGCCCCAGGCCTACGGGCTAGTGGTGCAAGCCTGGGTGCCCTCCCAGCTTGCTAGCATGGGGGAACACAGCCGGAGAGGCCTGGATGCCCAAACCCTTGGCGTTGGGGATGTAGGTCCATTTGCCCCACTCATGTTTATGTGGGTGCCCCTTATCTTATATGTAACAGCAATATATATGTTAATTGAAAACTTCTGAATTTAAAAAGGTTGTGACAAGTTATAATTTGTCCTGTCAATGCCTGGAATCCTTATTTATCTCTTTAGCTTGCCTCCCGCTCTCGCCTGTCAGCTAACAGCTTGCCTAACTCGTTGACTTCCTCACTCATGGCACGGAAATGACAAATGTGCAGTTTTATCCGTACAATTTATTTCATTATTGTTGCCAGCACGAAGCATCACAATCAATCATAAGGAAGTCCATTTGGCAGGTGTCAATCTTGGTGTGTTTTTGTACGTCTCAGTCTATATTTAATCCAATTATAAGGGTCACGGAGTAAGTGCCAATCCTCTTGTTACAACTCACATCTTATTTAAGATTTAAAGTAAAAAAGTCAACTCGATCACATGGATCTTTTGGGGGAAGGGAGGGGACTCAGTTGAAACTCCCTCATCTCCCTCTCTCTGCCATCTCCTGGCCTCCAATTTAAATTATGCAGCAATCCTTTTTTTATTAAAGGGTTGCAGGGAATCCGAGTTTTATGAGCATTTGTGTGCAAATGAAGGCTCTCCTTATTTTGCTAAAGTAGAAGCAAGCTTAATGATGAGAGATCTTTCCGCTCATTGCCCATTCAAATACAATTGTAGATCGAAGCCGGCCTTGTCACGTTGAGAAAAAGTGAATTTCTAACATCCAGGACGTGCCTGTCTACTTTCAGCGAATTGCATCCAATCACCCCCAGGGAATTCAGCTAATGTCTCCATCTCCACCCGGACGAGGGAGAGAAATAAATCAAACATGGTGCCACAAACCGACTTAATATGAAAATGTTTAAACAGAAAAGAAAAGCAGAGTTTTCTCAAACTGATTGTTGTAGAGATTGTGTGTGTGTGTGTGTGTGTGTGTGTGTGTGTGTGTAATAAAGCAAACTGGAAGCATTGGAAAATTTCCCCCAGAGGTCCAGGAAAACTTTTTACGGTGTGGAAAAACAGATAGAAGAGAGAAAAA